AGCAAGTGGAAGACCAAGCCTCGCTATACCGGTGGGTACCGGTATGTACCAGTAAGGGCGAAGTCAGGAAATGACGTCACTGGATGACGTCATTGCATGACGTCAGTGGGTGACGTCAGTGGGTGACGTCACTGGATGACGTCACTGCGAATAATAGGCTTAGAGGTAGTATTCAAAGTTGCGAACTAAGTACCTATTATAAATATATATTCACTTTGCGTTTTGCACTCGAGCCAAGAAGTCTAAAGTTCATCACTCCGTTTAGCTGAGGAGTATATGGGGGTGTGAACCTTTGTTGTATTCCCGTTCCGCGCAGAATCGTGCCAGCTTGTCGGACTTGTATTTGTTGAAAAGACAGCGGCTGTAAAGAAGACACCTCGTCAAGCTGCGTCAAGTGTTGAAGCAAGTGGAAGACCAAGCTTCGCTATACCGGTGGGTACCGGTATGTACCAGTAAGGGCGAAGTCAGGAAATGACGTCATTGGATGACGTCAGTGGGTGACGTCAGTGGGTGACGTCACTGGATGACGTCACTGCGAATAATAGGCTTAGAGGTAGTATTCAAAGTTGCGAACTAAGTACCTATTATAAATATATATTCACTTTGCGTTTTGCACTCGGACCAAGAAGTCTAAAGTTCATCAGGTTATGAGCCCAAGTTCGTCAGACTCTGAAACCGCCAACAATTCAAGCTTAGCTGCCATGGACGCCTCCTCCCTCCGCATCTCCAAGTTCGATGGAACTAACTTCCACGCCTGGAAGTTCAAGATGCAGATGGTGCTGGAGGAACGGGACCTATGGGAGGTCGTCAGCGGTGAGATCAAGGCGGAACAGTGCGAGACTCAGTTGGACCAAGCGACGTACAAGAGGAAGTCAAGAAAGGCGATGGCAGTGATCTGTCTAGCCATGGAAGATTCCCAGCTACCGTTGGTCCGGTCGGCAAGTGGTGCATGCGACGCATGGTCAAGGTTGGAAGACCACTTCGAGAAGAAGAGTCTTGCCAACAAGCTGTTCTTGCGCCGTCGCTTCTTCACGACAATGATGGAAGAAGGCGACGATGTGCTCGAACACATCAACAAGCTCAAGACGCTGGCGGAACAGCTAGAAGCGGTGGGGGCTCCAGTCTGCGAGGACGATCTGGTGATCACACTTCTCGGCAGCCTGAGTGACTCGTATCAATTCTTGATCACAGCTTTGGAGTCGCGCTCAGACACTCTTAGCTGGGAGCTCGTGATGTCTCGACTGCTTCATGAAGAAATGAAGCGGAAGGAGCAAGGAAGTAAAGGTGATGAAGCTTCGCAAGGTCAAGCGTTCATCACAAGGGACAATCAGCGCAAAGGGCGACCAGTGAAGAAGTCCTGGCCGTGCCACAATTGCGGAAAGATTGGTCACTGGATGGCGGAGTGCCCCTCGCGCATCCAAGAAAACACGGAGAGACACCGGCCACAGCGTGCTCAAGACAGCGGCGACCGCTATCGATCACAACGTGCAAACGTCGCTCAAGAAGAAGACTCGGGCGACTACCTCTTTTCGATCGGTGAAACGACATCTGCGAAATCGAGCGACATCTGGCTGGTCGACTCCGGGGCGACGCAGCACATGACGTGCTCCAAGAAGTTCATGCGGAACTACAAGGGGTTTGACGCTGTGGATGTCCATCTCGCGGATGATGGAATCGTCCAAGCAATCGGCAGTGGGGACATTGTCATGTCGATGAAGACACCCCAAGGGATGAAGAAAGGTGTGCTCACAAACGTGTGGCACATCCCAAAGTTATCCAGAAACCTGTTCTCGGTCGGCCGCTTCACCAAGGATGTCGGCCCAGTGACGTTCACGAAGGATGGGTGCTATGGAGAAGCGAAAGGGACCAAGTGGAAAATTGGTGCCCGTGAAGGTAAAGGACTGTTCAAGCTGCAAATGACTCCAGTGGCGCCGGAACAAGCAAATGCAGCCAAGTCGTCGGGATGTCAAGGGGGCACCAAGTCGTACCTCTGGCACCTTCGGCTTGGCCACATAGGTCACGATGGACTCAATTGCATCGTGACGAAGAACATTGGAATTGGCATCGACATATCTTCGGTGAAGAAGTGGGACGTGTGTGAAGGTTGTGCTCTGGGAAAACAGACTCGAGTGCGCTTCCAATCAAACACTACAGCTCGCACCTCCAAACTCCTCGAAGTGATTCACAGCGACGTATGCGGACCGATGTCGATGGCAACTTTCAGTGGAAAACGGTACTTCGTGACATTCATCGATGACAAGTCAAGATACTGTGTCGTCTATCTGCTCAAGAGCAAATCTGAAGTTGCGGCGAAGTTCATGGAATACGCTGCGATGGCCGAAACGCAAACCGGAAAGCGCGTGAAGTACCTTCAAAGCGACAATGGGGGTGAATACAAGTCCGACAAGCTGGCACGATTCTGCGCGGAACGGGGAATACAACAAAGGTTCACACCCCCATATACTCCTCAGCTAAACGGAGTAGCTGAGAGAATGAATCGCACGCTGGTCGAGTGTGCGCGTTGCATGATGGAACACGCTGGACTGGGAAAGAGCTACTGGGGTGAAGCAGTGATGACGGCGATGTTTCTTCGAAACCGCTGTCCAACACGTGCCATTCACCAAGACAAGTCTCCATATCAAGTGTGGACGATGAAGAAACCGATTCTGGCCAACCTTAAAGTGTTTGGATGCCACGCGTATGTTCAAGTGCCTCAAGACAAACGCGCGAAGTTCGACTCCAAGTCATCACTCTGTCGTTTCCTGGGATACGCCGAACACCAGAAGTCATATCGATTTGAGGAAGTGTCAACAGGAGCGATCAAGATCAGTCGCGATGCCACATTCATGGAAGACAAGTTTGATGAAGGTCCGCGCAACTACAACGATGAGTCAAGTGCCGTTGAGTTTGATGATCAAGACGAGGACGAAGAAAAAGAAGAAGGTAAAACTGACGACGACATGGACTCGAGCGACGATGACAACGAAGACACCAGGTCTTCGAAGAGCAACATCAAGAGACACACGCGCACTCAATCACTTGAGAAAGCTACCGTCATTCCAAGTCCCAAGCGAAGAACGTACAGAGGTCCGTCGCTTGAGCATGTGTCAGCGGCTGCAATGGATTTTGAAGCAGCCTACATCGTTGATTCAGTGGGGGAAACGCCGACTACATTCAAGTCGGCGATGGAATCAAGCGACTCCGGCAAGTGGAAAGAAGCGTGTGACTCGGAGTTCGACTCGCTTCAGAGAAACGACACGTGGGAAATCGTGCCTCTTCCGAAAGGTCGCAAGGCCATCGGGTGCCGATGGGTTTTTCGTGTAAAGGAGAATCAAGATGGCGAAGTTGAACGTTTCAAGGCAAGACTTGTGGCCAAAGGATTCTCACAGAAATTCGGAGTTGACTATGAAGAAACTTTCGCACCGGTGGCCAAGTTCACATCGATTCGTGTGGTGCTCAGTATGGCGGCTAAGTACGGCCTAATGCTACATCAGATGGACGTCAAGACAGCGTTTCTTAACGGCTCCCTCAACGAAGACATCTACATGGACCAGCCGGACGGATACCTGGATGCAACACAGCCGGACTATGTGTGCAAGCTAAAGAGATCACTCTACGGCTTGAAGCAATCGCCTCGCATGTGGAACCAAACAATCGATGGGTTCATGATCAAGATGGGATTCAAGAAGTGCGAATCGGACCACTGCATCTACATCAAGCGAGACGACCAAGACATGATTCTCGTGGTGCTCTACGTCGATGATCTCATCCTGGCCAGCAGCAACAACGAACTCCTCAAGTCGACCAAGATGGCGCTGAGCAAACGCTTCGAAATGACGGATCTCGGTGAGCTCGATTACTTTCTCGGCATGGAGATCAAGAACGACCGTAAGACGGGAATGGTGACTGTGCAACAAACCAAGTTTCTCAAGTCCGTGTTGACCAAGTTCGGAATGGATAACAGCAAGCCAGTGAAGACGCCTCAAGATCCCGGCCTGAAGCTAACCAAGAACATGTGTGAACAAGAATGCAAGCACGAAGACACCATGTGCAACGTGCCATATCGAAGTGCTGTCGGAGGCATCATGTATCTCATGGTCGCCACACGTCCGGATCTAGCTGCTGCAGTGGGATCATTATCCCAGTTCTCGTCCGACCCATGCCCGACTCACTGGCAAGCTTTGAAGCGTGTGCTGAGATACCTGCAAGCAACGCCCAATCATGGTCTTGAGTTTACACGTGAAGAAGGAAGCCGTATCTGCGGGTACACCGACGCAGACTGGGCCGGCGACATTGAGTCAAGACGAAGTACAAGCGGCTATGTGTTCATGATGAACGGAGGATGCATCAGCTGGAAAAGCCAGAAACAACGGACGGTCGCGCTATCTTCAACAGAAGCAGAATACATGGCGCTTTCCGAAGCAACCAAAGAAGCAGTATGGCTCAAGGTGCTTTTGGGGGAACTTGGTGAGATGACAAGCGACGAAGCGATCAAGGTGTATGAAGACAACCAAGGATCAATCGCTCTCGCCAAGAACCCGGAGTTCCATAAGAGAACAAAACACATCGACATACGCTACCATTTTGTGCGTGAGAAGGTGGAATCAGGTGAAGTCGTTTTGGAGAATTGCCCGACTCAAGATATGCTGGCAGACATGATGACCAAGCCGATCGCCGCTGTACAATTTGAAAACATTCGCGATCGACTTGGGATCCAAGGTACCGCAGCTAACGAGTCGAGAGGGAGTGTTGAAAAGACAGCGGCTGTGAAGAAGACACCTCGTCAAGCTGCGTCAAGTGTTGAAGCAAGTGGAAGACCAAGCTTCGCTATACCGGTGGGTACCGGTATGTACCAGTAAGGGCGAAGTCAGGAAATGACGTCATTGGATGACGTCAGTGGGTGACTTCAGTGGGTGACGTCACTGGATGACGTCACTGGATGACGTCACTGCGAATAATAGGCTTAGAGGTAGTATTCAAAGTTGCGAACTAAGTACCTATTATAAATATATATTCACTTTGCGTTTTGCACTCGGACCAAGAAGTCTAAAGTTCATCATCCCCCACTGAATCAACGATGCAGGCTGCTTCAAAATCCATTGCAGCCGCTGACACATGCTCAAGCGACGGACCTCTGTATGTTCTTCGCTTGGGACTTGAATGACGGTAGCTTTCTCAAGTGATTGAGTGCGCGTGTGTCTCTTGATGTTGCTCTTCGAAGACCTGGTGTCTTCGTTGTCATCGTCGCTCGAGTCCATGTCGTCGTCAGTTTTACCTTCTTCTTTTTCTTCGTCCTCGTCATGATCATCAAACTCAACGACACTTGACTCATCGTTGTAGTTGCGCGGACCTTCATCAAACTTGTCTTCCATGAATGTGGCATCGCGACTGATCTTGATCGCTCCTGTTGACACTTCCTCAAATCGATATGACTTCTGGTGTTCGGCGTATCCCAGGAAACGACAGAGTGATGACTTGGAGTCGAACTTCGCGCGTTTGTCTTGAGGCACTTGAACATACGCGTGGCATCCAAACACTTTAAGGTTGGCCAGAATCGGTTTCTTCATCGTCCACACTTGATATGGAGACTTGTCTTGGTGAATGACACGTGTTGGACAGCGGTTTCGAAGAAACATCGCCGTCATCACTGCTTCACCCCAGTAGCTCTTTCCCAGTCCAGCGTGTTCCATCATGCAACGCGCACACTCGACCAGCGTGCGATTCATTCTCTCAGCTACTCCGTGTTGAAAAGACAGCGGCTGTAAAGAAGACACCTCGTCAAGCTGCGTCAAGTGTTGAAGCAAGTGGAAGACCAAGCCTCGCTATACCGGTGGGTACCGGTATGTACCAGTAAGGGCGAAGTCAGGAAATGACGTCACTGGATGACGTCATTGCATGACGTCAGTGGGTGACGTCAGTGGGTGACGTCACTGGATGACGTCACTGCGAATAATAGGCTTAGAGGTAGTATTCAAAGTTGCGAACTAAGTACCTATTATAAATATATATTCACTTTGCGTTTTGCACTCGGACCAAGAAGTCTAAAGTTCATCAGGTTATGAGCCCAAGTTCGTCAGACTCTGAAACCGCCAACAATTCAAGCTTAGCTGCCATGGACGCCTCCTCCCTCCGCATCTCCAAGTTCGATGGAACTAACTTCCACGCCTGGAAGTTCAAGATGCAGATGGTGCTGGAGGAACGGGACCTATGGGAGGTCGTCAGCGGTGAGATCAAGGCGGAACAGTGCGAGACTCAGTTGGACCAAGCGACGTACAAGAGGAAGTCAAGAAAGGCGATGGCAGTGATCTGTCTAGCCATGGAAGATTCCCAGCTACCGTTGGTCCGGTCGGCAAGTGGTGCATGCGACGCATGGTCAAGGTTGGAAGACCACTTCGAGAAGAAGAGTCTTGCCAACAAGCTGTTCTTGCGCCGTCGCTTCTTCACGACAATGATGGAAGAAGGCGACGATGTGCTCGAACACATCAACAAGCTCAAGACGCTGGCGGAACAGCTAGAAGCGGTGGGGGCTCCAGTCTGCGAGGACGATCTGGTGATCACACTCCTCGGCAGCCTGAGTGACTCGTATCAATTCTTGATCACAGCTTTGGAGTCGCACTCAGACACTCTTAGCTGGGAGCTCGTGACGTCTCGACTGCTTCATGAAGAAATGAAGCGGAAGGAGCAAGGAAGTAAAGGTGATGAAGCTTCGCAAGGTCAAGCGTTCATCACAAGGGACAATCAGCGCAAAGGGCGACCAGTGAAGAAGTCCTGGCCGTGCCACAATTGCGGAAAGATTGGTCACTGGATGGCGGAGTGCCCCTCGCGCATCCAAGAAAACACGGAGAGACACCGGCCACAGCGTGCTCAAGACAGCGGCGACCGCTATCGATCACAACGTGCAAACGTCGCTCAAGAAGAAGACTCGGGCGACTACCTCTTTTCGATCGGTGAAACGACATCTGCGAAATCGAGCGACATCTGGCTGGTCGACTCCGGGGCGACGCAGCACATGACGTGCTCCAAGAAGTTCATGCGGAACTACAAGGGGTTTGACGCTGTGGATGTCCATCTCGCGGATGATGGAATCGTCCAAGCAATCGGCAGTGGGGACATTGTCATGTCGATGAAGACACCCCAAGGGATGAAGAAAGGTGTGCTCACAAACGTGTGGCACATCCCAAAGTTATCCAGAAACCTGTTCTCGGTCGGCCGCTTCACCAAGGATGTCGGCCCAGTGACGTTCACGAAGGATGGGTGCTATGGAGAAGCGAAAGGGACCAAGTGGAAAATTGGTGCCCGTGAAGGTAAAGGACTGTTCAAGCTGCAAATGACTCCAGTGGCGCCGGAACAAGCAAATGCAGCCAAGTCGTCGGGATGTCAAGGGGGCACCAAGTCGTACCTCTGGCACCTTCGGCTTGGCCACATAGGTCACGATGGACTCAATTGCATCGTGACGAAGAACATTGGAATTGGCATCGACATATCTTCGGTGAAGAAGTGGGACGTGTGTGAAGGTTGTGCTCTGGGAAAACAGACTCGAGTGCGCTTCCAATCAAACACTACAGCTCGCACCTCCAAACTCCTCGAAGTGATTCACAGCGACGTATGCGGACCGATGTCGATGGCAACTTTCAGTGGAAAACGGTACTTCGTGACATTCATTGATGACAAGTCAAGATACTGTGTCGTCTATCTGCTCAAGAGCAAATCTGAAGTTGCGGCGAAGTTCATGGAATACGCTGCGATGGCCGAAACGCAAACCGGAAAGCGCGTGAAGTACCTTCAAAGCGACAATGGGGGTGAATACAAGTCCGACAAGCTGGCACGATTCTGCGCGGAACGGGGAATACAACAAAGGTTCACCCCCCCCATATACTCCTCAGCTAAACGGAGTAGCTGAGAGAATGAATCGCACGCTGGTCGAGTGTGCGCGTTGCATGATGGAACACGCTGGACTGGGAAAGAGCTACTGGGGTGAAGCAGTGATGACGGCGATGTTTCTTCGAAACCGCTGTCCAACACGTGCCATTCACCAAGACAAGTCTCCATATCAAGTGTGGACGATGAAGAAACCGATTCTGGCCAACCTTAAAGTGTTTGGATGCCACGCGTATGTTCAAGTGCCTCAAGACAAACGCGCGAAGTTCGACTCCAAGTCATCACTCTGTCGTTTCCTGGGATACGCCGAACACCAGAAGTCATATCGATTTGAGGAAGTGTCAACAGGAGCGATCAAGATCAGTCGCGATGCCACATTCATGGAAGACAAGTTTGATGAAGGTCCGCGCAACTACAACGATGAGTCAAGTGTCGTTGAGTTTGATGATCATGATGAGGACGAAGAAAAAGAAGAAGGTAAAACTGACGACGACATGGACTCGAGCGACGATGACAACGAAGACACCAGGTCTTCGAAGAGCAACATCAAGAGACACACGCGCACTCAATCACTTGAGAAAGCTACCGTCATTCCAAGTCCCAAGCGAAGAACATACAGAGGTCCGTCGCTTGAGCATGTGTCAGCGGCTGCAATGGATTTTGAAGCAGCCTACATCGTTGATTCAGTGGGGGAAACGCCGACTACATTCAAGTCGGCGATGGAATCAAGCGACTCCGGCAAGTGGAAAGAAGCGTGTGACTCGGAGTTCGACTCGCTTCAGAGAAACGACACGTGGGAAATCGTGCCTCTTCCGAAAGGTCGCAAGGCTATCGGGTGCCGATGGGTTTTTCGTGTAAAGGAGAATCAAGATGGCGAAGTTGAACGTTTCAAGGCAAGACTTGTGGCCAAAGGATTCTCACAGAAATTCGGAGTTGACTATGAAGAAACTTTCGCACCGGTGGCCAAGTTCACATCGATTCGTGTGGTGCTCAGTATGGCGGCTAAGTACGGCCTAATGCTACATCAGATGGACGTCAAGACAGCGTTTCTTAACGGCTCCCTCAACGAAGACATCTACATGGACCAGCCGGACGGATACCTGGATGCAACACAGCCGGACTATGTGTGCAAGCTAAAGAGATCACTCTACGGCTTGAAGCAATCGCCTCGCATGTGGAACCAAACAATCGATGGGTTCATGATCAAGATGGGATTCAAGAAGTGCGAATCGGACCACTGCATCTACATCAAGCGAGACGACCAAGACATGATTCTCGTGGTACTCTACGTCGATGATCTCATCCTGGCCAGCAGCAACAACGAACTCCTCAAGTCAACCAAGATGGCGCTGAGCAAACGCTTCGAAATGACGGATCTCGGTGAGCTCGATTACTTTCTCGGCATGGAGATCAAGAACGACCGTAAGACGGGAATGGTGACTGTACAACAAACCAAGTTTCTCAAGTCCGTGTTAACCAAGTTCGGAATGGATAACAGCAAGCCAGTGAAGACGCCTCAAGATCCCGGCCTGAAGCTAACCAAGAACATGTGTGAACAAGAATGCAAGCACGAAGACACCATGTGCAACGTGCCATATCGAAGTGCTGTCGGAGGCATCATGTATCTCATGGTCGCCACACGTCCGGATCTAGCTGCTGCAGTGGGATCATTATCCCAGTTCTCGTCCGACCCATGCCCGACTCACTGGCAAGCTTTGAAGCGTGTGCTGAGATACCTGCAAGCAACGCCCAATCATGGTCTTGAGTTTACACGTGAAGAAGGAAGCCGTATCTGCGGGTACACCGACGCAGACTGGGCCGGCGACATTGAGTCAAGACGAAGTACAAGCGGCTATGTGTTCATGATGAGCGGAGGATGCATCAGCTGGAAAAGCCAGAAACAACGGACGGTCGCGCTATCTTCAACAGAAGCAGAATACATGGCGCTTTCCGAAGCAACCAAAGAAGCAGTATGGCTCAAAGTGCTTTTGGGGGAACTTGGTGAGATGACAAGCGACGAAGCGATCAAGATGTATGAAGACAACCAAGGATCAATCGCTCTCGCCAAGAACCCGGAGTTCCATAAGAGAACAAAACACATCGACATACGCTACCATTTTGTGCGTGAGAAGGTGGAATCAGGTGAAGTCGTTTTGGAGTATTGCCCGACTCAAGATATGCTGGCAGACATGATGACCAAGCCGATCGCCGCTGTACAATTTGAAAACATTCGCGATCGACTTGGGATCCAAGGTGCCGCAGCTAACGAGTCGAGAGGGAGTGTTGAAAAGACAGCGGCTGTAAAGAAGACACCTCGTCAAGCTGCGTCAAGTGTTGAAGCAAGTGGAAGACCAAGCCTCGCTATACCGGTGGGTACCGGTATGTACCAGTAAGGGCGAAGTCAGGAAATGACGTCACTGGATGACGTCATTGCATGACGTCAGTGGGTGACGTCAGTGGGTGACGTCACTGGATGACGTCACTGCGAATAATAGGCTTAGAGGTAGTATTCAAAGTTGCGAACTAAGTACCTATTATAAATATATATTCACTTTGCGTTTTGCACTCGAGCCAAGAAGTCTAAAGTTCATCACTCCGTTTAGCTGAGGAGTATATGGGGGTGTGAACCTTTGTTGTATTCCCCGTTCCGCGCAGAATCGTGCCAGCTTGTCGGACTTGTATTTGTTGAAAAGACAGCGGCTGTAAAGAAGACACCTCGTCAAGCTGCGTCAAGTGTTGAAGCAAGTGGAAGACCAAGCTTCGCTATACCGGTGGGTACCGGTATGTACCAGTAAGGGCGAAGTCAGGAAATGACGTCATTGGATGACGTCAGTGGGTGACTTCAGTGGGTGACGTCACTGGATGACGTCACTGCGAATAATAGGCTTAGAGGTAGTATTCAAAGTTGCGAACTAAGTACCTATTATAAATATATATTCACTTTGCGTTTTGCACTCGGACCAAGAAGTCTAAAGTTCATCAGGTTATGAGCCCAAGTTCGTCAGACTCTGAAACCGCCAACAATTCAAGCTTAGCTGCCATGGACGCCTCCTCCCTCCGCATCTCCAAGTTCGATGGAACTAACTTCCACGCCTGGAAGTTCAAGATGCAGATGGTGCTGGAGGAACGGGACCTATGGGAGGTCGTCAGCGGTGAGATCAAGGCGGAACAGTGCGAGACTCAGTTGGACCAAGCGACGTACAAGAGGAAGTCAAGAAAGGCGATGGCAGTGATCTGTCTAGCCATGGAAGATTCCCAGCTACCGTTGGTCCGGTCGGCAAGTGGTGCATGCGACGCATGGTCAAGGTTGGAAGACCACTTCGAGAAGAAGAGTCTTGCCAACAAGCTGTTCTTGCGCCGTCGCTTCTTCACGACAATGATGGAAGAAGGCGACGATGTGCTCGAACACATCAACAAGCTCAAGACGCTGGCGGAACAGCTAGAAGCGGTGGGGGCTCCAGTCTGCGAGGACGATCTGGTGATCACACTCCTCGGCAGCCTGAGTGACTCGTATCAATTCTTGATCACAGCTTTGGAGTCGCGCTCAGACACTCTTAGCTGGGAGCTCGTGATGTCTCGACTGCTTCATGAAGAAATGAAGCGGAAGGAGCAAGGAAGTAAAGGTGATGAAGCTTCGCAAGGTCAAGCGTTCATCACAAGGGACAATCAGCGCAAAGGGCGACCAGTGAAGAAGTCCTGGCCGTGCCACAATTGCGGAAAGATTGGTCACTGGATGGCGGAGTGCCCCTCGCGCATCCAAGAAAACACGGAGAGACACCGGCCACAGCGTGCTCAAGACAGCGGCGACCGCTATCGATCACAACGTGCAAACGTCGCTCAAGAAGAAGACTCGGGCGACTACCTCTTTTCGATCGGTGAAACGACATCTGCGAAATCGAGCGACATCTGGCTGGTCGACTCCGGGGCGACGCAGCACATGACGTGCTCCAAGAAGTTCATGCGGAACTACAAGGGGTTTGACGCTGTGGATGTCCATCTCGCGGATGATGGAATCGTCCAAGCAATCGGCAGTGGGGACATTGTCATGTCGATGAAGACACCCCAAGGGATGAAGAAAGGTGTGCTCACAAACGTGTGGCACATCCCAAAGTTATCCAGAAACCTGTTCTCGGTCGGCCGCTTCACCAAGGATGTCGGCCCAGTGACGTTCACGAAGGATGGGTGCTATGGAGAAGCGAAAGGGACCAAGTGGAAAATTGGTGCCCGTGAAGGTAAAGGACTGTTCAAGCTGCAAATGACTCCAGTGGCGCCGGAACAAGCAAATGCAGCCAAGTCGTCGGGATGTCAAGGGGGCACCAAGTCGTACCTCTGGCACCTTCGGCTTGGCCACATAGGTCACGATGGACTCAATTGCATCGTGACGAAGGACATTGGAATTGGCATCGACATATCTTCGGTGAAGAAGTGGGACGTGTGTGAAGGTTGTGCTCTGGGAAAACAGACTCGAGTGCGCTTCCAATCAAACACTACAGCTCGCACCTCCAAACTCCTCGAAGTGATTCACAGCGACGTATGCGGACCGATGTCGATGGCAACTTTCAGTGGAAAACGGTACTTCGTGACATTCATCGATGACAAGTCAAGATACTGTGTCGTCTATCTGCTCAAGAGCAAATCTGAAGTTGCGGCGAAGTTCATGGAATACGCTGCGATGGCCGAAACGCAAACCGGAAAGCGCGTGAAGTACCTTCAAAGCGACAATGGGGGTGAATACAAGTCCGACAAGCTGGCACGATTCTGCGCGGAACGGGGAATACAACAAAGGTTCACACCCCCATATACTCCTCAGCTAAACGGAGTAGCTGAGAGAATGAATCGCACGCTGGTCGAGTGTGCGCGTTGCATGATGGAACACGCTGGACTGGGAAAGAGCTACTGGGGTGAAGCAGTGATGACGGCGATGTTTCTTCGAAACCGCTGTCCAACACGTGCCATTCACCAAGACAAGTCTCCATATCAAGTGTGGACGATGAAGAAACCGATTCTGGCCAACCTTAAAGTGTTTGGATGCCACGCGTATGTTCAAGTGCCTCAAGACAAACGCGCGAAGTTCGACTCCAAGTCATCACTCTGTCGTTTCCTGGGATACGCCGAACACCAGAAGTCATATCGATTTGAGGAAGTGTCAACAGGAGCGATCAAGATCAGTCGCGATGCCACATTCATGGAAGACAAGTTTGATGAAGGTCCGCGCAACTACAACGATGAGTCAAGTGCCGTTGAGTTTGATGATCAAGACGAGGACGAAGAAAAAAGAAGAAGGTAAAACTGACGACGACATGGACTCGAGCGACGATGACAACGAAGACACCAGGTCTTCGAAGAGCAACATCAAGAGACACACGCGCACTCAATCACTTGAGAAAGCTACCGTCATTCCAAGTCCCAAGCGAAGAACGTACAGAGGTCCGTCGCTTGAGCATGTGTCAGCGGCTGCAATGGATTTTGAAGCAGCCTACATCGTTGATTCAGTGGGGGAAACGCCGACTACATTCAAGTCGGCGATGGAATCAAGCGACTCCGGCAAGTGGAAAGAAGCGTGTGACTCGGAGTTCGACTCGCTTCAGAGAAACGACACGTGGGAAATCGTGCCTCTTCCGAAAGGTCGCAAGGCCATCGGGTGCCGATGGGTTTTTCGTGTAAAGGAGAATCAAGATGGCGAAGTTGAACGTTTCAAGGCAAGACTTGTGGCCAAAGGATTCTCACAGAAATTCGGAGTTGACTATGAAGAAACTTTCGCACCGGTGGCCAAGTTCACATCGATTCGTGTGGTGCTCAGTATGGCGGCCAAGTACGGCCTAATGCTACATCAGATGGACGTCAAGACAGCGTTTCTTAACGGCTCCCTCAACGAAGACATCTACATGGACCAGCCGGACGGATACCTGGATGCAACACAGCCGGACTATGTGTGCAAGCTAAAGAGATCACTCTACGGCTTGAAGCAATCGCTTCGCATGTGGAACCAAACAATCGATGGGTTCATGATCAAGATGGGATTCAAGAAGTGCGAATCGGACCACTGCATCTACATCAAGCGAGACGACCAAGACATGATTCTCGTGGTGCTCTACGTCGATGATCTCATCCTGGCCAGCAGCAACAACGAACTCCTCAAGTCGACCAAGATGGCGCTGAGCAAACGCTTCGAAATGACGGATCTCGGTGAGCTCGATTACTTTCTCGGCATGGAGATCAAGAACGACCGTAAGACGGGAATGGTGACTGTGCAACAAACCAAGTTTCTCAAGTCCGTGTTGACCAAGTTCGGAATGGATAACAGCAAGCCAGTGAAGACGCCTCAAGATCCCGGCCTGAAGCTAACCAAGAACATGTGTGAACAAGAATGCAAGCACGAAGACACCATGTGCAACGTGCCATATCGAAGTGCTGTCGGAGGCATCATGTATCTCATGGTCGCCACACGTCCGGATCTAGCTGCTGCAGTGGGATCATTATCCCAGTTCTCGTCCGACCCATGCCCGACTCACTGGCAAGCTTTGAAGAGTGTGCTGAGATACCTGCAAGCAACGCCCAATCATGGTCTTGAGTTTACACGTGAAGAAGGAAGCCGTATCTGCGGGTACACCGACGCAGACTGGGCCGGCGACATTGAGTCAAGACGAAGTACAAGCGGCTATGTGTTCATGATGAACGGAGGATGCATCAGCTGGAAAAGCCAGAAACAACGGACGGTCGCGCTATCTTCAACAGAAGCAGAATACATGGCGCTTTCCGAAGCAACCAAAGAAGCAGTATGGCCTCAAGGTGCTTTTGGGGGAACTTGGTGAGATGACAAGCGACGAAGCGATCAAGGTGTATGAAGACAACCAAGGATCAATCGCTCTCGCCAAGAACCCGGAGTTCCATAAGAGAACAAAACACATCGACATACGCTACCATTTTGTGCGTGAGAAGGTGGAATCAGGTGAAGTCGTTTTGGAGAATTGCCCGACTCAAGATATGCTGGCAGACATGATGACCAAGCCGATCGCCGCTGTACAATTTGAAAACATTCGCGATCGACTTGGGATCCAAGGTACCGCAGCTAACGAGTCGAGAGGGAGTGTTGAAAAGACAGCGGCTGTGAAGAAGACACCTCGTCAAGCTGCGTCAAGTGTTGAAGCAAGTGGAAGACCAAGCTTCGCTATACCGGTGGGTACCGGTATGTACCAGTAAGGGCGAAGTCAGGAAATGACGTCACTGGATGACGTCATTGCATGACGTCAGTGGGTGACGTCAGTGGGTGACGTCACTGGATGACGTCACTGCGAATAATAGGCTTAGAGGTAGTATTCAAAGTTGCGAACTAAGTACCTATTATAAATATATATTCACTTTGCGTTTTGCACTCGAGCCAAGAAGTCTAAAGTTCATCACTCCGTTTAGCTGAGGAGTATATGGGGGTGTGAACCTTGTTGTATTCCCCGTTCCGCGCAGAATCGTGCCAGCTTGTCGGACTTGTATTTGTTGAAAAGACAGCGGCTGTAAAGAAGACACCTCGTCAAGCTGCGTCAAGTGTTGAAGCAAGTGGAAGACCAAGCTTCGCTATACCGGTGGGTACCGGTATGTACCAGTAAGGGCGAAGTCAGGAAATGACGTCACTGGATGACGTCATTGCATGACGTCAGTGGGTGACTTCAGTGGGTGACGTCACTGGATGACGTCACTGCGAATAATAGGCTTAGAGGTAGTATTCAAAGTTGCGAACTAAGTACCTATTACAAATATATATTCACTTTGCGTTTTGCACTCGGACCAAGAAGTCTAAAGTTCATCAGTATTCACCCCCATTGTCGCTTTGAAGGTACTTCACGCGCTTTCCGGTTTGCGTTTCGGCCATCGCAGCGTATTCCATGAACTTCGCCGCAACTTCAGATTTGCTCTTGAGCAGATAGACGACACAGTATCTTGACTTGTCATCAATGAATGTCACGAAGTACCGTTTTCCACTGAAAGTTGCCATCGACATCGGTCCGCATACGTCGCTGTGAATCACTTCGAGGAGTTTGGAGGTGCGAGCTGTAGTGTTTGATTGGAAGCGCACTCGAGTCTGTTTTCCCAGAGCACAACCTTCACACACGTCCCACTTCTTCACCGAAGATATGTCGATGCCAATTCCAATGTTCTTCGTCACGATGCAATTGAGTCCATCGTGACCTATGTGGCCAAGCCGAAGGTGCCAGAGGTACGACTTGGTGCCCCCTTGACATCCCGACGACTTGGCTGCATTTGCTTGTTCCGGCGCCACTGGAGTCATTTGCAGCTTGAACAGTCCTTTACCTTCACGGGCACCAATTTTCCACTTGGTCCCTTTCGCTTCTCCATAGCACCCATCCTTCGTGAACGTCACTGGGCCGACATCCTTGGTGAAGCGGCCGACCGAGAACAGGTTTCTGGATAACTTTGGGATGTGCCACACGGTGTGAGCACACCTTTCTTCATCCCTTGGGGTGTCTTCATCGACATGACAATGTCCCCACTGCCGATTGCTTGGACGATTCCATCATCCGCGAGATGGACATCCACAGCGTCAAACCCCTTGTAGTTCCGCATGAACTTCTTGGAGCACGTCATGTGCTGCGTCGCCCCGGAGTCGACCAGCCAGATGTCGCTCGATTTCGCAGATGTCGTTTCACCGATCGAAAAGAGGTAGTCGCCCGAGTCTTCTTCTTGAGCGACGTTTGCACGTTGTGATCGATAGCGGTCGCCGCTGTCTTGAGCACGCTGTGGCCGGTGTCTCTCCGTGTTTTCTTGGATGCGCGAGGGGCACTCCGCCATCCAGTGACCAATCTTTCCGCAATTGTGGCACGGCCAGGACTTCTTCACTGGTCGCCCTTTGCGCTGATTGTCCCTTGTGATGAACGCTTGACCTTGCGAAGCTTCATCACCTTTACTTCCTTGCTCCTTCCGCTTCATTTCTTCATGAAGCAGTCGAGACGTCACGAGCTCCCAGCTAAGAGTGTCTGAGCGCGACTCCAAAGCTGTGATCAAGAATTGATACGAGTCACTCAGGCTGCCGAGGAGTGTGATCACCAGATCGTCCTCGCAGACTGGAGCCCCCACCGCTTCTAGCTGTTCCGCCAGCGTCTTGAGCTTGTTGATGTGTTCGAGCACATCGTCGCCTTCTTCCATCATTGTCGTGAAGAAGCGACGGCGCAAGAACAGCTTGTTGGCAAGACTCTTCTTCTCGAAGTGGTCTTCCAACCTTGACCATGCGTCGCATGCACCACTTGCCGACCGGACCAACGGTAGCTGGGAATCTTCCATGGCTAGACAGATCACTGCCATCGCCTTTCTTGACTTCCTCTTGTACGTCGCTTGGTCCAACTGAGTCTCGCACTGTTCCGCCTTGATCTCACCGCTGACGACCTCCCATAGGTCCCGTTCCTCCAGCACCATCTGCATCTTGAACTTCCAGGCGTGGAAGTTAGTTCCATCGAACTTGGAGATGCGGAGGGAGGAGGCGTCCATGGCAGCTAAGCTTGAATTGTTGGCGGTTTCAGAGTCTGACGAACTTGGGCTCATAACCTGATGAACTTTAGACTTCTTGGTCCGAGTGCAAAACGCAAAGTGAATATATATTTATAATAGGTACTTAGTTCGCAACTTTGAATACTACCTCTAAGCCTATTATTCGCAGTGACGTCATCCAGTGACGTCACCCAGTGACGTTACCCACTGACGTCATGCAATGACGTCATCCAGTGACGTCATTTCCTGACTTCGCCCTTACTGGTACATACCGGTACCCACCGGTATAGCGAAGCTTGGTCTTCCACTTGCTTCAACACTTGACGCAGCTTGACGAGGTGTCTTCTTCACAGCCGCTGTCTTTTCAACAAGGTTGGCCAGAATCGGTTTCTTCATCGTCCACACTTGATATGGAGACTTGTCTTGGTGAATGGCACGTGTTGGACAGCGGTTTCGAAGAAACATCGCCGTCATCACTGCTTCACCCCAGTAGCTCTTTCCCAGTCCAGCGTGTTCCATCATGCAACGCGCACACTCGACCAGCGTGCGATTCATTCTCTCAGCTACTCCGTTTAGCTGAGGAGTATATGGGGGTGTGAACCTTTGTTGTATTCCCCGTTCCGCGCAGAATCGTGCCAGCTTGTCGGACTTGTATTCACCCCCATTGTCGCTTTGAAGGTACTTCACGCGCTTTCCGGTTTGCGTTTCGGCCATCGCAGCGTATTCCATGAACTTCGCCGCAACTTCAGATTTGCTCTTGAGCAGATAGACGACACAGTATCTTGACTTGTCATCAATGAATGTCACGAAGTACCGTTTTCCACTGAAAGTTGCCATCGACATCGGTCCGCATACGTCGCTGTGAATCACTTCGAGGAGTTTGGAGGTGCGAGCTGTAGTGTTTGATTGGAAGCGCACTCGAGTCTGTTTTCCCAGAGCACAACCTTCACACACGTCCCACTTCTTCACCGAAGATATGTCGATGCCAATTCCAATGTTCTTCGTCACGATGCAATTGAGTCCATCGTGACCTATGTGGCCAAGCCGAAGGTGCCAGAGGTACGACTTGGTGCCCCCTTGACATCCCGACGACTTGGCTGCATTTGCTTGTTCCGGCGCCACTGGAGTCATTTGCAGCTTGAACAGTCCTTTACCTTCACGGGCACCAATTTTCCACTTGGTCCCTTTCGCTTCTCCATAGCACCCATCCTTCGTGAACGTCACTGGGCCGACATCCTTGGTGAAGCGGCCGACCGAGAACAGGTTTCTGGATAACTTTGGGATGTGCCACACGTGTGTGAGCACACCTTTCTTCATCCCTTGGGGTGTCTTCATCGACATGACAATGTCCCCACTGCCGATTGCTTGGACGATTCCATCATCCGCGAGATGGACATCCACAGCGTCAAACCCCTTGTAGTTCCGCATGAACTTCTTGGAGCACGTCATGTGCTGCGTCGCCCCGGAGTCGACCAGCCAGATGTCGCTCGATTTCGCAGATGTCGTTTCACCGATCGAAAAGAGGTAGTCGCCCGAGTCTTCTTCTTGAGCGACGTTTGCACGTTGTGATCGATAGCGGTCGCCGCTGTCTTGAGCACGCTGTGGCCGGTGTCTCTCCGTGTTTTCTTGGATGCGCGAGGGGCACTCCGCCATCCAGTGACCAATCTTTCCGCAATTGTGGCACGGCCAGGACTTCTTCACTGGTCGCCCTTTGCGCTGATTGTCCCTTGTGATGAACGCTTGACCTTGCGAAGCTTCATCACCTTTACTTCCTTGCTCCCTCCGCTTCATTTCTTCATGAAGCAGTCGAGACGTCACGAGCTCCCAGCTAAGAGTGTCTGAGCGCGACTCCAAAGCTGTGATCAAGAATTGATACGAGTCACTCAGGCTGCCGAGAAGTGTGATCACCAGATCGTCCTCGCAGACTGGAGCCCCCACCGCTTCTAGCTGTTCCGCCAGCGTCTTGAGCTTGTTGATGTGTTCGAGTACATCGTCGCCTTCTTCCATCATTGTCGTGAAGAAGCGACGGCGCAAGAACAGCTTGTTGGCAAGACTCTTCTTCTCGAAGTGGTCTTCCAACCTTGACCATGCGTCGCATGCACCACTTGCCGACCGGACCAACGGTAGCTGGGAATCTTCCATGGCTAGACAGATCACTGCCATCGCCTTTCTTGACTTCCTCTTGTACGTCGCTTGGTCCAACTGAGTCTCGCACTGTTCCGCCTTGATCTCACCGCTGACGACCTCCCATAGGTCCCGTTCCTCCAGCACCATCTGCATCTTGAACTTCCAGGCGTGGAAGTTAGTTCCATCGAACTTGGAGATGCGGAGGGAGGAGGCGTCCATGGCAGCTAAGCTTGAATTGTTGGCGGTTTCAGAGTCTGACGAACTTGGGCTCATAACCTGATGAACTTTAGACTTCTTGGTCCGAGTGCAAAACGCAAAGTGAATATATATTTATAATAGGTACTTAGTTCGCAACTTTGAATACTACCTCTAAGCCTATTATTCGCAGTGACGTCATCCAGTGACGTCACCCACTGACGTCACCCACTGACGTCATGCAATGACGTCATCCAGTGACGTCATTTCCTGACTTCGCCCTTACTGGTACATACCGGTACCCACCGGTATAGCGAAGCTTGGTCTTCCACTTGCTTCAACACTTGACGCAGCTTGACGAGGTGTCTTCTTCACAGCCGCTGTCTTTTCAACATCTTCCACGTAGCGTCGCTGGCACATCGTCATGCTTTCGTTGTCGTTGTCCACCAGCTCGATGCCCAACACAAACGCGCACTTGCCGCTGTCGTTCATTTCGAAACGTGCCTTTCATTTCTCGATGGATTATCAGCTTTTCGTTTGATCTTGAATACCCACTTGGTGCCTATTGAGGGTTACCGGTACAATCCGAACCTAGCGCGTAGTTCTTACGAGATAGTTTTTACATCGGTAATTACCTCAGAGATGATTAGACGCGTAGGATGATTGGACGCGTAGGATGATTGGACGCGTGTGAATCAGGTTGATTAGATGCACCATGTGATTGGATGCAGTCTAGGGTAGGCAGAAGTTAAGACCTATAAATCAATCACTTTCGAATCCTCCCTCAAGTGAGCAAGTGTTCTCTGCTTCGTTCTCTCCGGTCTCTCCGCTTCGTTTTCTCTTCGCCTCGCGCTCAAGTTACAACAGGTTATGAGCCCAAGCGCCATGTCGTCCAACAACACCTCGGCCAGTGTCTCCATCGATAAGTTCGATGGGGACAACTACTCAACCTGGTGTCGCTACATGCGCGGCGTGTTTCTGACGAAGTCAGTCTGGTACGTCGTGAACCGCGAAACGTCTCCAACCTTCACCGACACGCGAGCTTCCGACGAGTACGTCAAGGCGAGCAACATCGCGTTCGGGTTGATGTTGCTCCACATGGACGCCGACTACCACCATGTGGTCGACAACTGTGAAGAAGCATGGACAGCGTGGTCGCGGTTGAAGATGCTCTATGGTGGGTCGCAGAAGGCGGGACGCATCTACCTCAAGCGCCAGCTGTTCAGCATCAAGATGGCGGAAGGTGCCAACGTCTTGCACCATTGCAACGAAGTCTTGAACATCGGCGCCAAGCTCAGCAGCATCGGTGCCAAGATGGAAGACGAAGACATTGCGATCTGCTTGCTGCTCAGTCTCCCGAAGAGTTTCGAGAACGTGGTTCTGAACTTGGAGATGAGCAATGCAGAGCTGCGCACGCAAGATGTGGTCAAGGTGCTGACTAACGAGCACATCAAGCGACAAGGCGAGAAGATGACAACGGCAACGACAACGGTGAAGACTGAAGATGCGACAAAGGCATTCAGTACCGAGCGCAAGCCCTACCAATGCACATACTGCGGCAAGGTGGGGCACACGGCAGAGCGTTGCTGGACGTGTTGAAAAGACAGCGGCTGTGAAGAAGACACCTCGTCAAGCTGCGTCAAGTGTTGAAGCAAGTGGAAGACCAAGCTTCGCTATACCGGTGGGTACCGGTATGTACCAGTAAGGGCGAAGTCAGGAAATGACGTCACTGGATGACGTCATTGCATGACGTCAGTGGGTGACGTCAGTGGGTGACGTCACTGGATGACGTCACTGCGAATAATAGGCTTAGAGGTAGTATTCAAAGTTGCGAACTAAGTACCTATTATAAATATGTATTCACTTTGCGTTTTGCACTCGGACCAAGAAGTCTAAAGTTCATCAGGTTATGAGCCCAAGTTCGTCAGACTCTGAAACCGCCAACAATTCAAGCTTAGCTGCCATGGACGCCTCCTCCCTCCGCATCTCCAAGTTCGATGGAACTAACTTCCACGCCTGGAAGTTCAAGATGCAGATGGTGCTGGAGGAACGGGACCTATGGGAGGTCGTCAGCGGTGAGATCAAGGCGGAACAGTGCGAGACTCAGTTGGACCAAGCGACGTACAAGAGGAAGTCAAGAAAGGCGATGGCAGTGATCTGTCTAGCCATGGAAGATTCCCAGCTACCGTTGGTCCGGTCGGCAAGTGGTGCATGCGACGCATGGTCAAGGTTGGAAGACCACTTCGAGAAGAAGAGTCTTGCCAACAAGCTGTTCTTGCGCCGTCGCTTCTTCACGACAATGATGGAAGAAGGCGACGATGTGCTCGAACACATCAACAAGCTCAAGACGCTGGCGGAACAGCTAGAAGCGGTGGGGGCTCCAGTCTGCGAGGACGATCTGGTGATCACACTCCTCGGCAGCCTGAGTGACTCGTATCAATTCTTGATCACAGCTTTGGAGTCGCGCTCAGACACTCTTAGCTGGGAGCTCGTGACGTCTCGACTGCTTCATGAAGAAATGAAGCGGAAGGAGCAAGGAAGTAAAGGTGATGAAGCTTCGCAAGGTCAAGCGTTCATCACAAGGGACAATCAGCGCAAAGGGCGACCAGTGAAGAAGTCCTGGCCGTGCCACAATTGCGGAAAGATTGGTCACTGGATGGCGGAGTGCCCCTCGCGCATCCAAGAAAACACGGAGAGACACCGGCCACAGCGTGCTCAAGACAGCGGCGACCGCTATCGATCACAACGTGCAAACGTCGCTCAAGAAGAAGACTCGGGCGACTACCTCTTTTCGATCGGTGAAACGACATCTGCGAAATCGAGCGACATCTGGCTGGTCGACTCCGGGGCGACGCAGCACATGACGTGCTCCAAGAAGTTCATGCGGAACTACAAGGGGTTTGACGCTGTGGATGTCCATCTCGCGGATGATGGAATCGTCCAAGCAATCGGCAGTGGGGACATTGTCATGTCGATGAATATTGAGGGTTACCGGTACAATCCGAACCTAGCGCGTAGTTCTTACGAGATAGTTTTTACATCGGTAATTACCTCAGAGATGATTAGACGCGTAGGATGATTGGACGCGTGTAAATCAGGTTGATTAGATGCACCATGTGATTGGATGCAGTCTAGGGTAGGCAGAAGTTAAGACCTATAAATCAATCACTTTCGAATCCTCCCTCAAGTGAGCAAGTGTTCTCTGCTTCGTTCTCTCCGGTCTCTCCGCTTCGTTTTCTCTTCGCCTCGCGCTCAAGTTACAACAGGTTATGAGCCCAAGCGCCATGTCGTCCAACAACACCTCGGCCAGTGTCTCCATCGATAAGTTCGATGGGGACAACTACTCAACCTGGTGTCGCTACATGCGCGGCGTGTTTCTGACGAAGTCAGTCTGGTACGTCGTGAACCGCGAAACGTCTCCAACCTTCACCGACACGCGAGCTTCCGACGAGTACGTCAAGGCGAGCAACATCGCGTTCGGGTTGATGTTGCTCCACATGGACGCCGACTACCACCATGTGGTCGACAACTGTGAAGAAGCATGGACAGCGTGGTCGCGGTTGAAGATGCTCTATGGTGGGTCGCAGAAGGCGGGACGCATCTACCTCAAGCGCCAGCTGTTCAGCATCAAGATGGCGGAAGGTGCCAACGTCTTGCACCATTGCAACGAAGTCTTGAACATCGGCGCCAAGCTCAGCAGCATCGGTGCCAAGATGGAAGACGAAGACATTGCGATCTGCTTGCTGCTCAGTCTCCCGAAGAGTTTCGAGAACGTGGTTCTGAACTTGGAGATGAGCAATGCAGAGCTGCGCACGCAAGATGTGGTCAAGGTGCTGACTAACGAGCACATCAAGCGACAAGGCGAGAAGATGACAACGGCAACGACAACGGTGAAGACTGAAGATGCGACAAAGGCATTCAGTACCGAGCGCAAGCCCTACCAATGCACATACTGCGGCAAGGTGGGGCACACGGCAGAGCGTTGCTGGACGAAGCAAAAGGATGAAAGTCGAGGAGCCCAACGCGGCGGCAATGGTCGTGGACGCGGGGCAAACAATGTCCAGTGGCGACATTATGATGAAGGCAACAGCTACGATCGAGTGGCGTTTGCAGTTTCGTTCGAATGCGGAGTTTCGACGAACAAGAATGGACCAGGAATGTGGGCCGTTGACAGCGGGGCAACACATCACATCTGCCACGACAAGTTCAAGTTTGCAAGCTTGGTCGAAGGCAATGATGGCGAGATCCTGGTGGCTGATGGCAACAAGGCGGCCATCAAAGGTGTGGGGACCATCGTGGAAAAGGTGATTCTGCCAAACGGGGAAGAGCGCGAGATCGAGATCAAGAACGCGCTCTATGTGCCCAGCATGAGCAAAAATCTGCTCTCGGTGCCGCAGATTAACAAGCACGGCAACTTCCAAGTGGTGTTTGACGGGGATACGATGTACGTCGCTCGCAAGGATTCCAATCAAGTGGTGGCAGCTGCGGATCTTGTAGACGGACTCTACTGGCTTCGCACGACGCAGCGATCGGCCAATGCGACATCACTCAGCAACGCTGTTGATCTACATGCGCGAATGGGCCATGCTCCAGTCGACGTGCTTCGCAGGATGGTGACAAGCCACATGATCAAGGACGCTCACATCCCTTCCAAGCCGAATGGATCAAGTGTGTGTCGAGGATGCCAAGAAGGGAAGATGGTCCAAAAACCATTCCCGAGCAACAGTGACAAGCGCACCTACAACACCTTCGAGATGCTCCACTTCGACATCTGCGGACCCATGGAAGAAAAATCTCTGGGTGGCAGCAAGTATCTGCTGCTGATCGTGGATGAAGCCAGCGGATGCATGAAGGGTTTTTGTCTGCATGCCAAGTCAGAGAGCGAAGAGAGCATCAAGAAGTACATCACGATGATACAGACGCAGTTCAACAAGAAGGTCAAATTTGTGCGACACGATGGAGCCCGCGAGTTTGCGACGAACTCGCTTCAAGATTTCTACGAAGTCGAAGGCATCGAGCAACAAACCACGGTGCCATACGCACATCAAGCCAATGGAACTGCTGAACGCGCGATTCGAACTATCGTCACCATCGGTCGTAGCATGCTCCATCATGCCAAGTTGGACAAGTGCTTCTGGGCTGAAGCGGCAATGACGGCCGTCTATGTGAAGAACCGTTTGCCGTCACCCAAGATTCCACACAAGACACCGTTCGAGATTGTCTACAATTCTAAGCCAAGTGTCGAGCACATGCGCGTTTTTGGGTGCCAAGCATACATCTTGACCCCGAAGGAGAAACGACTCAAGTGGGATCCCAAGGCCCGGGCTGGATTGTTTTTGGGCTACGAAGAAGTGTCCAAGGCGTATCGAGTTTACGACATCGAAGCGGGGCAGGTGATGATAAGTCGCGATGTCAACTTCGATGAGTCGGCCTTTGGAATGTCGATGCTGATTTCCGATGACGATGTTGATGGCCTGGACTTCGAATCGATCGATCTTGATGATGAAGAACCGCGTCCGAGACACTTCAAACAAACAGGAAAGCGCAAGGCCCAACCCAGTCACGACAATGACGACGCAAGCATGCCCCGAGCAGTGCGCCAACGACCCGGATTGGAAGAGTCAAGTGCGCCGGATGACCTCTCTTCACGTCGAGCCAACGAAGATGAAGAAAGGAAGTCGGAGGAACAACATGACACACCGACTTCCTCCGCGTTTTGGCATGCGAGTGCAAACGCCGTCGAAGCAGCGGTCGATTTTTCGGAGCCGTCGACATTTGAAGAAGCAGTGTCTGGCCCGGACCAAGTACACTGGCGCAAGGCAATTGATGCGGAGCTCGATTCGATGAAGCTTCGCGGTGTCTTTCGTGCGGCCAAGTTACCCAACGGACAAAGCGCCATTGGCACAAAGTGGGTCTTCAAGATCAAGCGCAAGGCGGATGGGTCGATCGAGAAATACAAGGCACGACTTGTGGCCAAGGGTTTTCGCCAAAAGTATGGCATCGACTACACGGAGACGTTCTCACCCGTGGTCAAGTATGTGACGCTGCGAATGGTCATCGCCATTACCAAGCACTTTGGATGGCCCCTCGACCAGCTCGATGTGGTGACTGCGTTCCTGTATGGAGTGATGAAGGAGAAGGTGTTCTGCGCTGTTCCGGAAGGCGTCAAGATGGAAGGTGATTTCGACTGTCTCGAGCTGATCAAGGCGATCTACGGTCTCAAGCAAGCCTCGCGTGTTTGGAACGAGACCTTCGACGAGTTCATACGCTCGATTGGT